TATATATATATATATTGCTTTATACTCCTGTCGTTGCAATGTTGTTCGTATATATATCTATATATATATTATATACATCAGAGCTTACGCCTCGTAATGTATTTATAGATCGCTTTAGTATTGTCTTTTATATATTTATTTATTTATTTATTATTATTATTATTATTATTATTATTATTATTATTATTATTTGATTTTTATTTTTTTACTTATTACTTTTTGTTACCTTTTTTTTCTTTTTTTATTTTTTTTTTATTTTTGGAAGGAATCCATTTTCGTGTTCCGCCTCTCTATACCGTGATTTTCACGGAGACGTGTATATATACATACATATACATATACATGTATACATATATTTTTTCTTTCTAATACTTTTACTACTGGCATGTGCAGCAGAAAAGCGTGCTTCGCTTTAAAACACGAGATACGAGAGCCGGATACGAATCAAAAAAAAAAAAAAGAAAATAAAAGGATCCTCCGTTAAGTCGTAGGCCACGCAAGATCACGTTCGACAAATTCCTCTTTAATCTTTTATACGATCATCTAACGATCGTTGTTGTATCTTACGAAATAAAAAAAAAAAGAAACATATAATTTATCTACATATTTGTGTATAAACACATATTCGTTTCTTACGTGGCTAACGACAAAATTTATAACGACGTGAGAACTTTTTAACCCTTTACCACCCAAACCCCCAATCGACGAATTTTTGTCCAAGCAAACGAAAACGACTATTATAACGATCATGAGAGAAGAAGAAAATAAAAAAAGAAAAAAAAAACAAACAGAAAGCTAACATATATTTGGACTTGCACAGTAATATCATAGGTCTAATTCGATTGCTATGCTTACGCTTCGAAGCACGAAAAATAAACAATAAACAAATTAATTATTGTACAATTAGTTTACTTTTTTATTTTCTGTTTAGTATTTTTTATTTATTTATTTATTTATTTTTTTCGTTTGAATAAAAACACTAAGAGGGACAGAACAAGGAATAAAAAGAAATATGTTAAATTAAAAAAACATGTTAGAAAAAAAAGTAAATCATATGCACGTGCTTCGATGCGCAAGCTCGATGACAGATATCGTCTAAAACTCCTTTCTAATCTCCGTAACATCAGGACCACGTACACGAGATATTATTCTTTCTTCATCTTCGTATGACACACACACAATAACGGTGAAATAAAAAAAAAAAATAAATAAAAAAGAGAGAAGAAAAAGAAAGAAGTAAAAAAAAAAGGAAAGTTCATAGCTTCTGAACCATTATCGCTCTATGGCATACTTTACCTATATACACACACACATATATATATATATATGTGTGTATAATACATTAGATTGCTAAAACGATGAACGTAAGGGAACATGAAAGAAAAAGAAAAAAAAAAAATAAGAGAGAATAAAAAGAAAAATGCCACAAAAAAGAGGGTCGCGTGTACATTTTACTGTGCCTACGGAGCGTTAGATATGTGTAAATTTTGAGCTTGCGCCGATGATGCATGTTGTGCTTTAAGCGACTCTCTCTACCGAGGTGATGGTGTCAAACGTCATCCCCTCGAGATATATGCTCTGAACGATATGACCGAGATTCTTCGATCCTTCGAACCAAATCCCATTATATAATCCACGGCTCAAGATTCTTTACAGTTTCTCTCACATTCTCTCTATCTCCCTCTCTCTTTTTCTCTCTTTCTCACTCTCTTTCTCTCTCTCTCTCTCTCTCTCTCTTTCTATCAGATACTTATTTATATTTTTATTTATTTATTCGTTCAATTATACGAATCGTGATTTTTCCTATCGTTTATCTCTTTCTATTTTATTCACGGTTCTTCTCTTTTTTTTTTTTTTTTTGAATTTTGATTTATTTTCTTCTCTTCGTAGTTTCTTTTCTTCATCAATCAAACCCTTTGATGGATGAATGATTATCCTTCTTTACGTGCAACATTTTTATTATTCGAAATCACCATCGAATTTTTTGCCAATGAGCACTTCACTGGTAGCTTGCTTACGTACACATACAATCTTTCTCTTGCTAAATATTATTAAATTATATATATGTACATATATATTTTACATAATTTATCATAGTATATACTTCAATTTTGGTTTTGATTTCCTTCTCTCTCTCTCCCTCTCTCTTTCTCTCTCTCACTTGCTATTTTTTACATATATGTATATTATATACATACGTCAAGTTCTCACCTTCTTTCTCACTCTCTCTCTTCATGTATATATATTTACTCATTTCCAATAATCAAAAATTCATCTTAGTATGTGCACAAAATATTGGATTTTTACTTTTTCACAACTTAATTAAAATATATGTATCCAAGAGAGAAAAATTAACTTTCTTTTATTTATTTATTTATTTCTTTCTTTCTTTTCAATTGTAAAATTTGATTAGTTTTGCAAAAGTTATTATCATTACATATAATAATTTCTATCTTCTTTACGTTGCTTTCAATATAAAAAACAAAAAGTAAAATGTTTTCATTTGAACGGTTTAAAAAATAAAACAAAAGAAAGAATAAATAAAAATATTCTAAAAGAAAATCCATCTAACTATCATCGGCTTCCCTTGTGCTTTTACATTTTTATCGAGCCAGCTTTCAACTAAATCGTCATACTTTTTCTCTCTCTTTCTCTCTCTCTATCTCTCTTTCTCTCTCTCTCTCTCTCTCACTCATTCTCTTTCTCTCTATTTTCTTCACAACATTTGATTTTGCTTCATTCTGCCACAAAATGGTTAACTCTTTGTGTATTCACGTTTACCACCCGCTTACGCGATTTCTCTTATGAAGTATTTTTTTGTATTACATTTTCATAGGATTTTCATTTTTTGTAATGTCCTTTTCTCTTTTTTTTATATTTGTTATTGTACTTTTATTAAACTCATGCTATACGACACACTACATTCGGAGATTTGATTATATATATTTTATTTGATATCGTCGTCGATTGTTTCTCTCTTTCTCCCCCCTCTCTCTCTCTCTTTCACTCTCTCTCTCTCTCTCTCTCTCTCTACCTCTCTTTCTCTTTCTCTCTTTCTATTTGGCGCAGGAAAGAAAAGAAAAATGTAGTTTATCATATCGATATATTAGCTCGAGAGATGGTAGACAAACATGGTTGACTTTTTCGTTTCTCGTATCGTCGTGTCGTTAGATACGCTTTTATTTTTATCGATTAAAAGCCTGACAGTTGAGCCGATATCATCATTATTCCAAAAAGATAACGATTACGATGGTCGTATTATCAAAGCTAAGTATAATAATAACATAAATATTTAGAAATATTTATGTATCAAAATATTATTAAATATTTATTTTTATTTAAATTATAGATAATACTCGTATGAAACTTCATACATAAATTTAATGTACAATATATAATAATATGTATATATATAAATATTTAGTTGTCTATGTCGGTGAAGTTTTTTTCTTTTCTTTTCTAAATAAATATACATGAAAAATTGCAAGGATCTGTTATTATTCGAGTTAATATTTTATACGTACGACCACCGTATTCGTTTTTGGAAAGAGCTAGTAGAGACCCTTATATGACAGTCCTCGATCTCACATGCCGTTGGCTGGTCTTTCTGACATGCTCCGAGTAGTCGAAAGAAAAATGGGAAAAGCATTTTGCAGCATTATCCAGGGCAACGAGAACGTCTCGTCGTTTGGGAACGTCGCCGCAAGCTGCGTCATCGGCACAACTTTTACACACACGACAGCAGCCCGATTTAAAAAAAAAAGAAAAAAAAAGAAAGAAAAAAAAATAACTACCAACAACCATTAACCAACCCCGTCTAACCCTAAAACCGAGTTTCCTGAGAATCTATTTCCCTGAAAAAAAGAAAAATTAATAATATAAACCTATTTTTGTCGATATATGTATTTCGAGATCATCTCCAACTTTTCGATGTCCCTGTTTCCTTCGAGAAAAAGAAAAACAAAAAAAAAAGAAAGAAAAATTCAATAACGCCGAAGATGCGCCGCCCTGTGCCCTTGAAATTAGTTGAAACCGATCCTGTCTTTGTTGCAGATGGACATGAAGTCTGTTGGGTCGTTCTACTACGAGAACTTTGTAAGTGAAGAACTAAGCAATGCAATCATAACGCGCGTTTATGACGTTGTCTTTTTTATTTTTTATTTTCTATTAATAATAGTAATTATAATGTATAAACAAATTTGGATTATCGATTAATTTTATTCGTGAAAAAATTTCATTTAAATATAATTTCGTCTAGTTGTATCGATTGGCCAATGTATATTTCTCCCTCGCGTGTTTTATCGTTGATAATGTTAAAAAAAAAGTCTATTCGATGTACGAAGGCAAGACGCGAGAAGATAAAAAAAAACGTTGAAGATTCAAAAAGTAATCCTACTACTCTTGAATGGGAAAAAAAATAAATGGAAGGAGAAAAAGTTGGGACAAGTTCTTCCCCCGCAGAAGAGAAAGAAGCGCAAGGACCTTTAAAAAAGATCTAAACGCGGAGCCTGTGTTGGGTTCGATGAAGACGCGGACGATCTCTCGACGGAAGCTTCCAACCCTCGAGAGGACGTCGGGTTCGTTTGAGTATCAAATAATACTAATCGTTATTTTGTTTTTGAATTTGTTTTTCAGGCCTTCCCAGGAATGGTTCCGTATAAACGACCGGCGGCCGACAAGTCCGGTATGCCGGTCTATCAGCCGACCGGTGCGACGACCTTAATGCAGTTGCAGCAGCCCTTCGTGCCTGTGTCATGTGAGTACACTGGAACACCACCCCTACCTACCCAAACCTCTAACCATTCGGTCATGCAACCCCCGAACGTGCAAAGCAACCACCACCACCACCACCACCACGCGGTGGTGCAGTCCTCCTCTTCCTCCCAGGGAACCGGCGGCGTCTCTGTCGGTAACTGCGCCGACGCCAACAATAGCGTCCTCATGGATCCGTGCAACAACCCGCCGCCGCCGCCGCCGACAACCGGCGACAATAACAGTAGCGTTAGTAATGCCGGTAACAAACAGACACTCGTTAATGCCCAGAATCATGACGGCGAAAATGCGCGTAACTCCCCCGAATTGAATCACTCGAGTCCGGCGATTCAGCAGCAAGCTCAGCAACAAGCTCAGCAGCAAGCTCAGCAACAAGCTCAGCAGCAAGCTCAGCAACAAGCTCAGCAGCAAGCTCAGCAACAAGCTCAGCAACAAGCTCAACAACAAGCTCAACAACAAGCTCAACAAGCTCAACAACAAGCTCAACAACAAGCGCATCAACAAGCGCATCAACACCAACAACAACAACAGCAACAACAGCAACAGCAACAACAACAGCAACATGCTCAACAGCAAGCGCAACAACAAGCTGTTGCTCAAGCTCAACAAGCTGCCCAACAGCAGGCACATCAACAGCACCAACAGCAACAACATGCTCAACAACACGCTCAACAACAACTTCAACAACATCATCAGCAGCAAATGAATCAATTGGCTTTGTCAGGCGTCCCGCCATCCATGAGTCCGTTGACATCAATGGCTGGATTAACATCAATGCCAGGTGTCGTCAACATGGCCTCGATGGCCAATATGGTCAGCATGGCAAACGCTTCATCTATGACTAACTTATCTTCCATGAGCAATTACTCGGTTGCCAGTATGGCGAATTTGAATATGCTGAATACGCTAGGTATGTCCGGATTACCAGCGCATCTAGACGCTGCTGCTCTGGCTAAGGAGGTGGCCCAGAAGAATTACGCGAAAGCAATCAAATTGTCTCAGGCGTCGCAATCTTATGGTATTAGTCAACTGACGGCACTTAATTACACCGGCGTAGCATTGAACAAGCAAACCTTGGTGAATCCAGCGAGTGCCGCAGCCGCTGCTGCTGCGGCTGGACCTGGATCGGCTTTACAGGCTAGCGGTTTGCCCGGAAGTACCGGAACACAGAGATCAGTGATTCCTGGACTGGCCGGTATCCCCGGTGCGTTAACGTCGCCTCTTTCAGCTGGCATACTAGCATACTCGAGACCTCAACCAACCGCCACACCTATTAATCCGTACTCCCTGATCAGACAACAGATCCTACCGAACCCTTACGTCCAAGCATCGATACCTGGTGTCCCTGGAGCGACCGCAGCCGCTGTTCAGGCATCTCCCTACGTCCAGAATCCGTACGCCGTTTTACCAGGTATGGCTGGTGTACCTGCTGGTGTAGCAGCCGCGGCAGGTGTACCGACCGTACCTCAGTTACCGCAAATCCCCAATCCCGCGACGATAGCGGCGCAACCGCAGGTTGCCATACCGGTCAGCTCCGGTGTGATCATGCAACCCTATAAGAAGATGAAGACTTCGTAAAGAGCGTCGCTTTTTTAAATCTCCTTGGCTTGTCTCCGTAGCAAGAGGTCTGTCGTACTTTTTTCTGGGCCAACTTCTTCTCTCTTTTTCTCTCTCTTTCTTTTCCTCTTAATTTGTCTTGTTGGTATCTCATTGATTTCTTAAAAAACCCAACAAAATCAATTCTCTCGTAGTAGTAATTCACTGTTGAGCATACGTAAGTGCAATTTTTCGATTAATTTCAATAAAAAAGATGAACAACAAGCACTCCACTAAACTGGATCATCCATCGATCTTTCTATCGTCAAAAATCTATAATATTTTATGTCATTTTTTTCGTGAAAACTATGATAAGGAAACTAGATAAAAAGAAAGGAGAAGAAAGAGAGAAAGAAAGAGTGAAAATTTCGGTCGAGCAAACGCGAAACTTCGGGAGAGACGAGACGAGACGAGATGAGACGTGACGAAACGAGACACGCTATACAATGAAAAAAAAAAAGTTCCGAAAATAGATTCATTTTCTAGTCAGACATTGTCGGTGAACAGTGCCTTATTGACCCGATTCCTCGTTTGAGCGTTTTTTTTAAAACGTAAGACGAATAGAAATGAGATAGAGAAAAAGAAAAGAAAAAAAAAATAATAATGATGAGAATCGCAAGACGATACTCCTACGTTTAATTTTGTGTGTGCGTGTGTGTTACGTTGTCGGATTGATGAATTTAATTAGTTGATGATCCGCGTAATCGGTAATTAATTATGGCTGTACGTGCGCATGCACGTTTACGGCTTAAATTTGTATCGTTCCGATATCGTGTTTCTACCTAAATCCAATATCTGCCGGACGACTTGCCCCGCGATCCTTTGGATTCGTCCAAAAAAAAAAAAGAAAAAAAAATTACGAAAAGAAATAAAAAAAAATTATGAAAAGAGACAAAAAAAAATATTTAAAAGAAAAAGGGACAAAAAAATAAGTAATTAAAAAATATGCTTGTGCGAGAGACAGATTCCTTGAATGGATCGAAGTGTTTACGCCCAATAATCGTGATTTAAATATTGTCTATAATATTATTATTATTATTATTGAGCATTTTATTTTTTATTTTTATTTTTGACGAATAATCTTGTTTGTTTGTTCTATTTTGTTCCTTCGTGTTTTTTCTTTATTATTATTATTGTAATAATATAATTATTACTTTTTCTTATCTTTATTTATCTAATTTTAATGTATTGTATTTTCTCGTATATAAACATTATAAAACATATTTTAATGAACTTATTGTAAGTTATCATTATAATAATATTAATTAATAATATTAATGTTAGTGAGTGAGGTATTAAAAAAAAAAAAAATACTTCATTATTAAAATATTTCGCGTTTATTAATTATTTTATTACAGAGACATTATCTATGTTACGTCATCGTTTTACGATTCCTCGTTCTGTTTTTATAGATTAATAATGATTAATAGAGTCAGGGAGCTTTCGAGGACACGTCTTATATATATTTTAGGGAAGAGTAAGTGAAAAAAAATAAAGAAAAAAAAAAAGAAAATAAAAAAAGAAAGAAAGGTATAAAAAGAACCGAAAAGTATAGAAAAGGAAAAAAAATTTCGTTAAAACGTGTTCGATTGTTGCAATATTTTTATTTTGAAATTTTTTATTATTATTTTATTATTATTTTTTTTTTTTTTTATATCTGTCGAAATTTTATGAAAATTTTATCTTCACGATTTTTATCAGTGTGTGATGTGAAAAAAAAAACATAAGTACAAGGGGTAAAGAAAAGTAAATGGAAATAAGCACGTATGTACAGTTTGGCCTATTAATAATTATAACAACATTAACAACAACAAGAACAACAATAAGAAAAACGTGTCGCCTCGTATAATGTGCAAAACTTGCCTTTTTGGATTAGTCGTTTTTTAGAAAAGAATGATCGAAAGAAAGAAGGAAAGAAAAAAAATTGTAATATAATCGATGGTGTAATTATACATAATAATATGTATATGTGTAAGGACGAGCGACAACGAAAAATGATTACGCCTATTCCCGACTCGTCTTTTACATAATTATCTTTCATTTACTTCATTATAATCTAGTTTTAATTTGTTCTTAAATATTATATTATAATCTTCTTCCTTTAATTTTGTTTCTTAATAATTTAAGATGTAACTCTTCGTTTTATAATTCGTTGGATAGTTTTAGATAAAAGAATAAAAAAACAACAACAACAAATATAAATAAATAGGTATTGATAATGTTTGTAATGCGTTTAAATGCACGATGTGTACCTACATTTAATTTATAATTAAATATTACAATTTATCAATTTACAAATTCGTCGATAAAAAACATTGTATTATTTCGCCCGAAAAAAAAAAAAATACACTTCAGGGCTGTTTTAATATTACACGTGCATTAATATTACACATAGCGTATTAATTCATTTAGAATGTTTATTAATAATTTAAATAAAAAAACGCGTAACCCTTATAAAAATTGTTTGTTTGAAAAGGCGTAGGTTATTATTATTATTATTATTATTATTATTATTGTAATAATATTGTAAACGATATATATATTTATATATATATATGTATCGTATGTTTCCTAGAAACACAATTACGTTTCAACGAAAACATTTAAAGAAAAAAATGAAATGAAAATAATGAAAATAGATATACATATGTTTTCTTTGAAGGTCCGTAATTATCCTAACTTGTACGAATTAGAACATTTATGTATAATAGATTTAGTGGATAAACTAACATATTTTTAACAATAATATTTAAGTAATTACACAAAAGTGATTCGAGTGAATAAGAATAAGAGAAAGAGATAAATAAAATAGGAAACGTCATGAATTTTGACGCGTATCTCTTTTTTCTCAATTCTTTAATTCAATTCGGGGGAGTTGATTGCACATAAAACAAAAACAATAATAACAACAACAAAACAACCAACAACAAAAACAACAATAATATTATACATACACGGAATTTCGGATAAACTATTCTTCGTTTAAATATAATGACGATCAAAAGAATATTACGGAGAAAAAAAAATGGAAATATGAAAAACAAAACAATTTGAATGATAAGAAAAACAACAAAAATAATCAGACATTAACGAGCATTGGCGGCTGCTGCATTTATCTAACGAAAAACAAAATGAAATGGGCTAAACTACTATATGAAATATATATATATATATATTTAATATGATATATGTATATATACATATACAACTACATAAACAATGATTAACGATAATCATACGATCGGTCTAATTTACAAATAATAATAATAATATTACTATCTTAAAAGATAGAAACATGATAGATCATTTTCATCTATCGAATCTCCTGTTACGAAACTATATCTATAATATATTAATACATGTGTATATATTATGTTATATATACATATAAATATATGCATATAAGTTAAAACGGGAGAGTTCACATGCGCATCGTGTTACACGACCTCACGAGCGTAGCCGCATAAGCAACGCACGTTTTACGCACACTACTAAGGACACCTTAAAAAATATAACACATACATACATACAGGTACACAGTTAAACACGTACATATATAAGCCTACATAAAATACACGGATACTAAATATAGGACGTAAATATAACGTTAAGATAGTTTTACGCAGAGAAAATAGTCGATATCTTGTATTTTTATGAGTTCATATGTTTGATGATAATAAATGAGAAATGAAAAAAAATAAATAAAAAAATAAAAAAATGAAAAATATGTCAGTACAGTGGTAGGGACGAAAACGAAAAGAAAAAAAAAATTAAGAAAGATAATATGAATTAAAAAGTAAAAAAAAAAAAAAATATAAGAAGGAAGGGAGAGAGAGAGAGAGAGAGAGAGAGAGAAATAAATAAATAAAGCCCACATATGTGGATATGAGATGAAATTTTTAAGAGATATATAAATATATTTAAACGAAATTAATATAATAATAAAAAATAAGTGAAGTAATGTGAAATTTAATAAAAATTTGATTCGATGCTAGTGGTTATGTCTTCTTCTTTGTGTATTCGCGTACACTTATCTGCCAGTGATTTGAAAGTTTTCGTCATACATGCATACAAATATAATATCATATTAGATGATAACATATATTGTAATGAGGTTTATTATTTACGCTATTAATATACATGATTAGAAAAGGATAACGTAATCTGGCATATAACGTGTGACGACGAACGATTAGGTGAATTAGACACGGCCAGTAGAACGAAAAAAAGTTCAGCTAATATGTCGAAAAACGATTATGAGAGGATAATGTTTTCTCGTTGTTGAGAACATTTCTTTTTGTCCTTCTCTTATTAATAAAAAAGAAAATAAAAAGAAATTGTTCTACACTCGTGAAAAAAAAGAAAAAGAAAAAAAAGAAAAAAAGGGAAAACGAGAACGCGATATCGTTCGATTCGTCACAAATCCAATTTTCGTTATTATTATTATTATTATTCTTATTATTGTTATTGTATAATTTTTATTATTGTTATTACTTTTTCAAATTATTTTTTGTTAATTTTTTTTAACCAAAAAAATTTTATTACTCGATAGAAAGAAAAAAAAAAAAGAATAAATAAATTGTGACAAAGTATTATTTCGTATCGACGTTATGTATGTGTATGTCGCGTTAGAATTAAAAATTCGCGTAGAGTTTATAATAATAATTATAAAAATAACTATATATATTAATTGGATTGGTTCGATCGCGATACACGTTCTTCTTTTATTATCTACGACATTACCTCGATTCCGTCGTTCGAGATCAGAATCCAACATTTTTCTCTGTCGCGGTGAAAGAAAAAAAAATCACACATACACATAAACATACAATGGATACACATATGTATAATATAATATAATAATAATATAATATATAATATATAATATATACGTTTTCACTCTTTTGACACGCACAAACGGCAATTGGAGGAAACAGTCGTCGCGTTGAATTTATGAAAATCGTTAAAACAACGCGATAAAGAAATAATATACCTAACAGCAGTGATATAATTACAAAACTAATGAATGAAATAATAATATATAAAAGAATACGATGAATAACTAAGAAATAGAAAAAGAAAGAAATAATGTAAGAATGCAAGTATAATTAATGGGCTAGTGTTTTTGTGGTCTTCCAGAAAATTGAATGAAAACGCGAGGATGAATCCACATTATTTTTTATGACTATTCAAGATGATGACTCCTCTCGAATGAATAAATGAATAAAATAAAATAAAATAAAATAAAATAAAAAATAAAAATAAAAAAAAAAAAATTATATGAGATGATAAAACAGAGAAAGTCTTCGAGGAAAATGTAGATTCTGATCTCGCGACTGATAAGTTGCGCGCGTGCGCATTTGTGGGCGATACTTTTGTGATAATATTTACATATACATATATATATATATATATACACACATATATACACATCTAAATTTAAGTACACAAAACCACCTAACACACATGTGGACTTCATCCATAGTGACATTTTTTTCACACGCACACTGAATGCACGCACAGATCTATATTACAAATAAAAATAAAATACGATATGAGGTTGTTGCTACCTCCTTTAAAAGTTTTGCAACAGTTTAA